TTTATCTTCGGTATGGTAAGATATTTTAGCGGCTGGAATAACGTTTCAAAGATGGCTGATTTACCGTCGAGCGGCTTAGGAACTAGATGGATTTACATCATCTTGTTATTCATTGTTGCTGCGATCTTCTTCTACGAAAACAGTGATCGAATTTTTCATTTTCTACGTAAACATGGATTTGGGATCGTACCGATAGCCCTAATTTTTATCGTGCTTTATCTCAAAGGCAACTTTACCGGCGGGAATCGCGTTTCAAAGACGGCTGATTTAACAACGAACGGTTTAGGAACTGGATGGATTTGCCTCATCTTGTTCGTCATTGTTGCTGCAATCTTCTTCAGCGAAAAGAGTGATCGAATTTGGCAATTTCTTCGTAAACATGGGTTTGGGATCGTACCGATAACCCTAATTTTCATCGCGCTTTATCTCAAAGGCAGTTTTAGCGGCGGGAATAACGTTTCAAAGTCGGTTGCCCTCATAACGAGCGGTATAGGAACCGAATTGATTTGCGTCATCTTAGTCTTTGTGACTGTGATATATCCTCTTACTCAACTACAGTGAACAAGTTCTGCAGTAACTTGGTGAAGAAGCTGAAGGGTTTCGGATTTTAGTAATCTTTTTTGTATAGTTTTTCATGCTTTGTCTCAAAATTAAAGCGTTGCTCCTTCCGTAGAGGTAGGTAGATATGTTAGACCTTCAGATGATGTAGTGAATTTTGTAATATAATGATACAAATTGGAACGGTTTTATGAAAAAGAACAATTGACTTATATATATATACTAGATATGGATCCGTGTGCGCGAGTTTTATTTGATGTTTAATTTTTACGGACACTTAAAAATGAATTTTTTTCACATTAGACTATCTCTAATATATTATGCTATTTTCACTCTAGAATAAATGAATTCTATAATAGAGATGAGATATGTTCCAATATATTCTTCTATAATAGCAACTAGATTTTGACCCGCCCTTAAAGAGGGTGGGACAACCGTTTTTGCTTTAAATTTATGTCCTTGTTTGATTATTCACAAATATGTATAGACATGAGTATCCGGGTTCAGATAGATTGTCATTAATAATTTTGGTTTGGTCCAACGTATATAGATTAAATACGATTACATACAATTTAATGTGTGGTATAAAATTGATTTTTCTTATTCGTTTTAGTTAGATAACAAATTTTAGAGACCCGATGAAATTATGAATTCTATTCGATAATCTAAAGTATTGATTTGTAATAGTTTATATTTTGAGTTCAAACTTATTTTTTATAAAAAAGATAAATAATTTTAGGGTACTATTATAAACAACTTGGTTGATATTATTGTCACATAAAATAAATAGAGATACAACCGACTGTTTATTTTAAAACTTATGGTCATAAAAACTGACATTGCATTATATAGACGGTATGTGTTTAAAAATATAATTAACAAAACAATTATATAAGAAAATAACATAAAAATTCAAAATACAACTGCGAATAATTATTGCAAGCCCGTAAATAAATCAATACATCATATTAACCACCCAAGCCCAACACAAATATACCGACAATATCTCTTTAATATATCTTGGACATGCAACTACCACATATCTTTTCAAGAGTGTGATATATTTTCTTTATAAATTGATTCATACGAAACAAAGATTTGATAATTATAAAATTACATGTGTTGAAATTTTGCAACTTAATACATTTATAATTGTGTTGAGCAGTGTTATCATACCGGATACGGGTTTGAGATTAAGCAACTAAACTTAGTGATATGTATATATTTCAGTTCGGATTTAACTAATTCACCGTTATTTAAAATTTTGATAAAACTTGGTAAGAATCCAAAATCCGTTAGTAACATGTCACCTGACACTGATTGACCCGTGTAACATGTCACCATATGCCAAAACATATGGGAAACAATGAGAATTTAGTTTTTTTTTTAATATATAAATAAAGTAATATTGATTAAATACAACTATAGTTAGATATGATAGGCAAAAATATTAATTTGAAATGTATAAACCAAAAAATATTTTCTTTCTATTTATTTTAATTTCAAATTAAAAGATAATACTCATTTAGATAAATATGAAAACAATTAAGTTTTTTTATCATTTTGAAATCTCCGCATAATCCAAGTTATATTCATTTTATTAGATTATATCCTTAATATCACCATTTTTATTCTTATATGATTAACATTTGTTTTCATATTTGTTTATATGCAAATCTCGTCGCAATAAAGAAGATAATTGAAAAGAGGAGAAATATTTTAAATGATGCTATTACAAAGTATTCTTAATAAGTTATCTAGTTGAAGAGTTTATCTCACATATTAATTTATTTGTTACATTCTAACAAATGTATACTCTTAAATTCGTTAGTTCTTTATAATAATTTTTTACAAAATATCTTTTAAAAGGTTTATAACAATTTAAGTTCTAGGTATTTTATTTTACATATTTATTGTATAAATAAAACGAAAATTCTATTTTTTATTTTTTATTTGATGAACTACTATAAGAACTATATTTCAATTTAAATTTTATGATGCGCTATATATATCTTTTTATTTTACATGTTTGTTTGTTATAAAACGGAAATTCTACTCCATTACATTACATTTACTTGAAAGATAAGTCATTAGCATAGATGGTGTACATATATAATGTTTGGTTCATGATTTTATAATCTGTTATATAACAGCAAATTACTATTTAACATTAAGTACTTTCGTATTTTCTTAAAAATACTTTTTATATCATTAGGAATAGTTACTTTTTACCATATAGTCAAAAGCAAATTATAAATAAAAATTGAAAATATATTAAGATAATTAATAAACATGATATTTCTATAATTATCACCATAACTGGCGACATTTAGGAATATTGATTTTGTAGTTTAAATCAATGAAATAATATTGTTATTAAAATAAAATGGAGAGATAATCAAGGCAATATATATTTTGTTGGAAAAATATTTGGTTGAAAAATAATTAATAAAAACTATAAGTTTAAATAATGCAGTGGCAAAGATCTCTAAATACTTCCCAAAATCAAGAGAACCTAAAAAGGCCTTGTGTTTTAATAGTATATATATATATATATATATATATTAAAACGTAATAAATTGTTGACGACTGGCTCATCCGCGATCAACAAAATAACCCAATGACCAAAAATAGTGTTTAATGTATATGTCAGATTTAAAAGCTTTGATTTAACATATTTTACCTTTATATTTTCTTATAATATCATTTAATGAATTTTAGCAAAAAATATATATGATTTACATTCTAATTATTTATATTGATCATATACCAAAAATCAATATAGTTTATTGGTTGTTTCTAATTATAATAGTATAATTGAGGATTAGGTATAAATAGACATTAATATTATTTGGGTTAATTAAATAATATTAATGCTAAAAGTCTAAATAATGTTTTGACTGAAACATTATTTACAATTGAATGTCCTTTTTCAAAAAAAAAAACATTATTTAGAATCTTTTTAGTATGGCGAGATTTAGTATTCTGTTGAATAGTTAAACCAGATTTCTCTTTAGTTTTAAATTGAAAAGATTTCGCCTATAATTTTGCCTATAAGACAAATTTTCTATATATCCTCGATCATATATGTCGTGGAGTTATTCAAAAGTGTTCTTGGATATCAATACAATATTAAAGTATTATATATATATATATATATGTGTGTGTGTGTGTTTGCTAATATGTCGTGGGGCAAAAAAAGAGAGAAGCCAAATATTATATAAATGACCATACCAACTTATTAGTATAACAGTTAGTGAAGATGTTAATAGGCTATATGTTAATTGTATCAATATGTCGTGGAGTCTAGATAATAATGTCATAGATTAAATATACGTCAATTATTCCGTATACATGTTTTCTCTACCAAATCTCCAAGTCCGAAATTAACAACCTGCAGATGTTAGTAGTACATATAAAGCTACCTGATATTTGATTAAATAGCCTAATTACAATGAAGAGAAAGTGTGCTTCTGTACAAAATAAATAGCCTACTTATATGAGGCAATATCGCAAGAGAATCTTCAATATGTCTCTCCATGACTTCATCAGCTTCTTTGGTTGCTGTAAGATTCATTTTCTGCACATTTCAAAAGACCAATTCAAGCTCACACAAGAAGCCACAAACAAAACTTTACTCTACTCCCAACTGAAATCGAGAGAGAGAGAGAGGGAAAGCGAAAAACCTGGTTCCATTGGAGAAGGGTGTCGACATAGAGATGGATTTGGTTTTGTTGAGTGGAACTGAGGCTTTTCAAATATGATGTTGTTGTGCTTGTGGTGTGAGTGTCGGAGTGAAATCTAGTGCGAAGAAATGTGTGCGATTTTGCGCCTGGAAAGTGTTTGGTGAAATGTCTTAGAGAAATAACATGTGAGAGGACGCATGGTCTCGTCATTACACTCTTCCAAGGATAGCAGTGCATATTTTTGGTGTTTTGACATTACACTCTTCCAGCTAATGGATGTGTTCCTTAACTAAATCACACAAAAACTGAAAAAGGGTTAATGATTGGCTTCCTTGAAAAATTTGAGTCAAATAATGTGTCCATTCAGTACTAAAGATTCATCAACATATCAATTTGGGAAGACAAAGAAATATCATATAGCTTAATGTCAAATAATGTATCCATTCAGTACGAAAGATTAATGAAGGTTATATGTATTTCGAAATTAAGGAAGTTCTATATTTTGTTATATGCATATTTTAATTTTTGAAGTACCAAATATTTTTAAAATGAAAGCGTTTGCATTAGTAGAGAGGCTGTATTTTAAAAATATTTTTGAAGTACCAAATAGTTNATATTTTGTTATATGCATATTTTAATTTTTGAAGTACCAAATATTTTTAAAATGAAAGCGTTTGCATTAGTAGAGAGGCTGTATTTTAAAAATATTTTTGAAGTACCAAATAGTTTCATCATCGTTTTAGTAGAGAGGCTGTATTATACCTTGATATAGTTGCTGGTGTCGAGAGTGAAGCGGTGGTAGATCCCGGCAGTAAGGACAATGAGATCTCCCGGTTTCATCCAGATTCGGATCCAACGGTCATCCTTGTCCATAACATCGAAATAGCCACTTCCTGCAAAACAGTAACGAATCTCTTCGTCCTTGTGAATGTGTTCTGTGAAAAAGTTCTTCAGCTTCTCCTCGTAGTTGCTGACTTTCTCAGGACACGGATCCAGCAAATCCTACAATAAAGATTAATATGCAACAAACAAACAACATCAATGGCCATAGATGGTGAGCATGAGTGAGATTGATCCTAAAGTAATCAGAAAAGGGTAACCACCACACATACCATGTAATCATAACCCCTTTCATCTCTAATTTTGCCTAGCTCGGAATCATGCTCATAGTTATCAGGGTTCAACTTCCAGTACAATACTCCCAGATCTGCAAAACACATCACAACTATTGCTAGAGACATTTTTTTAAAGTTGCATGCTCTGCTCTTGTATATATCTAATCATGGAAACATTCCAGTTAGAGATGGAGTTATAATATGGAAGCAATCGTTTTGCAAAAAAAAAAAGTAAGAGTAAGTTGAAGTGGAGAGAGACCTGCCAAGTAATCCATAGTGAGAAGCTCTTTGGGGTTACGATGATGAGGAAGTCTCTGGTCTTCATTGCTATCATCCATAAACCATGCCTGCATCAACACTCAGATAGCCTAAAAAATCTAGGAAACAGAACATTTTTTTTTTGCGGGAAACCTCAGATTATACAATTCAACCGATAAAAATCATCAAAAGTCTCTGTTCTTCCCAAAATCAAATTAAGGAATAACAACGCGAACAATCAAATCCATAGTGAGAAGCTCTTTGGGGTTACGATGATGTAGCGACCTTCTTCATTATCATGACCTCTAAAGCCCTCAACTCCACTGTGAAAAAAGTGATTGCCCATATCAGTGGACATCTGTAGTTGTTTAAATACTTGAACCCTAAAAAGGAGCACCCTTACAATGGTAATGGAAAGAAAATATTTGGTTAATATTTGTTGCGTGTCACAAAGAATAAAACAGAGTAATTGAAACAGAATCAGAAAAAGTACGAAACAAACCCAATACGCAAGAAGAAATACAGTGACTGGAATCAAGAACAAAACCATACAATGAAAGAAATTGGGATCTTAGCAAAATCAAATGTTGGGGTTTCCAAAAAAAAAAAACTCAATTCGGACAAAGAAGTATATACCTATTCGTTCGCTTTCTTATTGGCATAAATCTTCTCCTTCGTCTCGATTGATTCGCCTCCTCTCCTAGCCCCAAAATCAGCAGCGATTGTGGTTGTTCCTCCACAGGCTTCACCATCTGTAAAGTTTCTTACTAAACTCATCAAACTTAAACCCAAACAAAAAATAAAATCAAAACCCCACACTGCTTAGCGGATGAACACAAAAGAATCTCATCAAAAATATCACATATGCTGCCAATCGTAGGAATGGAGGACAGAATAGAAAAATCATCAAGCATATTGTTGCCAATCGTAGGAATGGAAGTGTGGAAACCATTTGTACCAAGCTTCATCAATATAAATAGATGTCGTTCAATATTTTTAGGGATTTAGGGTATATTCGTTTACAACTAAACAAAGATTTTGTCAATCTTTTAAATTCGGGTCAAACCCACTTGCATCGGATAAAACCGATTGATACAAATCATAGCTTAAAAAAAAATTCAGTGGCATGAATCTGTAATTACTATTGAAAACCAAGGGCACCTCAAAAAAGGGCCTTGTGTTTTAATAGTATAGATCTCTAAATATAGAGCAAGAAATAAATGATTGCTATTTCTTTCTTTACAAATAGAGGAAAAAATAGAAATCTCTATTATAGAGAAATAAATAGAGGTGGATTGGAGCAATTTCAACTCCAAATGTAATTATAGATATTAAAAGGACAATGAGTTGGAAATGCTCTTAATTCTTGAATTTTTCAGTATATATTGGTCTTATATTTAGTAATAATAATTTGTTTCTTACATAGATTTTGATTGATATTTATATTTCAATAAATATGGTGTTTTAAATAATATATTAATATTTTAATTATTTTTTAAAATAATAATAGTTGTAGTTAATTGAAACATATAGAACTGTGAAATCTCAATATTATTTATATTGTTTAAAGCAAATTAAAAACAACAAAATTAAAAATATTAAAACTACACGACATCAATCAATATGTATTATTGATATTCAGCTAAATATCAAATATCAATACTATTAAATCTGCAACATGTCCTATTGATATTTGTTGAGTCTATTTTTTTAAAAAATATATAGTTATATTATTTTAAATATATTATAATTTCCCTATTCCTATATTCTAGGAATCCATAACTAATTTATACTAATAAAAATTCATGAATAATACAATAACTATTATCTGCATATAGTACACGGCAGTTAAAGAAAAAAACAACCAAACAACAGTTCCTCTATGAATAATAACTTATAAATAGTACGTTTACGAATTAACCATTTCAAGACTCACTAATCTAAACTATTAGAATTGAAGTACATTTGATACTTAACCCTGATTTTTTTCATAATAATTACAATAGAATGCCATTAAGTTTATCCACTGTCGTTTAGCATAATAATAAAACCACCGAACTTAAAATTGATAGACGTAAACAGGCTAAAATAATTGACAGAGAACCAACTTCCTGAAAAACCGACAAAACATAAGTATATTAAACCGCTATAGATAATATTCATATTTAAAGATATTATAGTTAGTATCTTTAAAATATATTGTGGACTAAATCGTAAAGGGAATTTACCTATTTCTCCGCTAACTAATACTACAATATCACTCGGCTAACATAATCTTATTATTCTGTTTTCAAAAACTTGCATATTACGTATGGTTAATCCTTAACAGCGAATATTATATAAATCATGATGATTAGATATTAAAGGAAATAAAATTAATTCATTCAAAAACGTATATCACTTTTCTATCTATCTATCTATACTATTATTTGCGAAGTGATTTTTCGCAACGGAGCTCTCACGTTAAAAGTTGGAGTGGTTAATATCGATTATACCCCTAATGATACTTTTATATATAACTAACTTTATAATTAAAAACGAAATTTTAAAAATAAAATTAGAATAGTATGTTATTATCTTAGATAACTTAGAATAATTAATATAATAAGTTTATAAAAACCCATAAATAAGATAATTCTTATATATGTTATTATCATCTAAATATAATATTGTAACAACATGATAATGCTTATATATCTTAATTTTATATATAATTGATTTTGGCTTTTGAAAATAATATCATTCTATTATAAAATTTTAAAATTAAAATTAAAAATTATAATTTAAAAATCGATTTTAATTAAATATTAATCAAACAAAAACATTTGTATAAAGATACTTTTAATAATATAATTAAATATTAGATATTAAAAATTGGAACGGTTCAAGTTAATGATACCTTTAATGAAATTTATATATTTATATATAAATTAGTTAAAAGCGAATTTTATGTTAGTGATAGAAATTTATATGTTATTATATTAGTTAATTTATTATAAATTAATAGGATAATTATCCACATTCATGCATATTTAAAACATAAGATATCTTAGAGAATATTATACAATTATCTGGAAATAATATTTTTTATTATGAAAAATAAAAATTTAGTTATAAACAATTTAAAATTAAATATTAAGAAAAAAATATAAATATATTTTCAAAATATTTTATAATGTGGATGTTTTTCAACACTATAATAAACATATGGATTTTGATAAAAATTCATATAAAAATATTTTAATGTTTGATTTAGGTTTTTTTAAAACTATAAAAAATAACTTCTAATATTATTTTAATATTAATAAAATAATAAATAATAATTATTCGTTAGAAAATTATGCCCGCAACGGAGCTCTCACGTTAAAAGTTGGAGTGGTTAATATCGATTATACCCCTAATGATACTTTTATATATAACTAACTTTATAATTAAAAACGAAATTTTAAAAATAAAATTAGAATAGTATGTTATTATCTTAGATAACTTAGAATAATTAATATAATAAGTTTATAAAAACCCATAAATAAGATAATTCTTATATATGTTATTATCATCTAAATATAATATTGTAACAACATGATAATGCTTATATATATCTTAATTTTATATATAATTGATTTTGGCTTTTGAAAATAATATCATTCTATTATAAAATTTTAAAATTAAAATTAAAAATTAAAATTTAAAAATCGATTTTAATTAAATATTAATCAAACAAAAACATTTGTATAAAGATACTTTTAATAATATAATTAAATATTAGATATTAAAAATTGGAACGGTTCAAGTTAATGATACCTTTAATGAAATTTATATATTTATATATAAATTAGTTAAAAGCGAATTTTATGTTAGTGATAGAAATTTATATGTTATTATATTAGTTAATTTATTATAAATTAATAGGATAATTATCCACATTCATGCATATTTAAAACATAAGATATCTTAGAGAATATTATACAATTATCTGGAAATAATATTTTTTATTATGAAAAATAAAAATTTAGTTATAAACAATTTAAAATTAAATATTAAGAAAAAAATATAAATATATTTTCAAAATATTTTATAATGTGGATGTTTTTCAACACTATAATAAACATATGGATTTTGATAAAAATTCATATAAAAATATTTTAATGTTTGATTTAGGTTTTTTTAAAACTATAAAAAATAACTTCTAATATTATTTTAATATTAATAAAATAATAAATAATAATTATTCGTTAGAAAATTATGCCCGCATATGCGGGCACAACATCTAGTTTACACTAAAATAGAGTAACTCTATCTCTATAATATTATTTGAGAAGTCAGTTTTCTATGTGGCGCGCTCACGTTAACTCTCACGATGGTTGATTACATAGATACCCTTAATGAATTGTTAGATTTTAAGATTATTATTAATTTTTTTATTTAGTTTCTTTTTTACTTTTTTCAAAATAACATATATAATAAAAAGGAAATACTTCTAAATTTTTTTTCAAAAAAATTAAAAACGAAAATATATGTATATAATATGACTTTTTTAAAAAGGAAAATTCACAAAATAGTAATATCCCCATTAATATATATTTTAAATAACATAAAATATGTTTTCGAATTAATAAAAAAAAATAAAAAAAATGTTCATGTACATCCAAAAATTTATTTATTTTATAATATTTTTTAGAAATCAACATATAATTTGATAAATATTATGGAAATACATGTATATTTAAGCGATAAATAAAACTAATTTGATTTGACTTAACTATATAAAGAGTAGATAAATATTATGAAAATACATGTATATTTAAGCGATAAATAAAATGAATTTGATTTGACTTAACTAAAATAAAAAGTTATTATACTTCAATTTTAATTTAAAAATATTTTTAACTCAATATACTCATAAAATGAATGACTCGACTAATCTAATTTATATCCAAACTAAACATATAACTACAATAAGAACAAATAATTTTATAATAATAATAATAATAAACTATTTAATTTTATACATATAAATTAGAGGTTGACTCAAAGCATATTAAAAAGAAAAAGAAAATATTAACCAGTTACAATTTAATTCTTTTGTAGAATTTAT